TTGTTTTGTTATCGGCGACTCTCTTAAAAATAGATCACGTGAATATAACGATAGTGTCGTTGATAGTACAACGTAGCAGTGACATAAAACCAAAAATACGCGGTGAGGGATTGGCAAGACATAATCCACTTTGTCGGGTCTTATTCGGTGTATTTTTGATTTTACAGGGTAAGAAGCGTCATGCACATTTCGGGATAGATTTTGCATAGTCATGTATATTAAACTATATAATTTTCTTATGGATTTTGTGAGGAAGGGGCTATATTCGAATTACTATTAGAAATATGAAAAATTATAAATTGTACAAACAAAAAACAGATAGGTATTATTGGATATTTAGCCGCAACGTAATATACAAGTAGACGATATCTTTTATTGTATTATTCATATAATTTCTATTCAGAAAAATATAAACATAACATCACATAAAATTCATTTCAATTAAAAAAAAAAAAAAAAAAACGTGGTAATGTAGTATTATAAATTTCGATTTAAAAATATTCGTCACCCAGAAATCTCGTGGTCTGTTATCATTTTCGAATATTATTATTACGCACAAAATACTGAAAATAACGGTATAATTTATAACAATATTTTCACCTATATAAGTGTATAACTACAAACATTTAAACGCGGGGTAAAGTTGCGGTACTATTCGTCTTTCGGTATTTTCGTGTAACTATATATACTTTAATATGGGCAGGTGGCACAGGCGAAAGAGGATTTTGGACGTCATTCGACAAGAGTGATGTGTTTTGTTTGCTTGACAAATGCGGTATTGTCGCAGTGGATTGCTTGTATATATATATTATGCATAATGCATCACAATAACAATAATAAATATGACGAGATGAGATCAAATACGCGGGTGAACGTGCGAACACAACGGTGGAAAAATGAAAATACATGTGATTTTTTTTTTTCATTTTAGTACAATAAAGTAGTATATATTCACCTCGACACGATGATGTATCATACTTACGTAAGCGAAAAGCGTTTTTTTTCTCCCTTTCAATTCTATTTGAGTACATTATGTTTAAATTTAACTGACAGCTACAGCTGTATAATAATATAATGTCTAAAATAATAATTATGATCGATAAAGTATAAGCGTATACTTACGCTGTAAAGTTTTATTTTTTATTATTATGTTCTTGACAAAACATTTGATAAACAATAATATTCGCATAATCTTTATCGAGAGTAAAAACATAATAGTATTCGACTTTTATTAATCTTAATAATGTATTGATCTTTCAAAAGTTATATTGTTTCTACTTATCACTAGTAAATAAAATTACATTTTGCCTTTCTTAGATGTACACGAATAGCAATAATTGGATAAATATGTAGCCATGCAAGTGATGTTGAAGGTGTAGGTATACGTAAAAGTATAAATGCAATTATTACACTTCGACAAACATAAAACGACATCAGTTTTGATATCAATCATTTTGATAATATTAATTGATACGAGTTAATTAATTAGCATTTGTTTTAGAATAAATTAGGTTTATTTTTATTTTTTGTTGTTTTTATCAATAACTAGCATAGAGATTATATAGACATATATAGATATATAGACATTATGCAATATATTTAAAAACATTATTATATTATCACTACCTACTAAAATTAATACTTGCTATTTATTGAGTTAATATTGACGATTAAGGAGAGTATATTATTTAGTTTCATTCGATTACTTTTTGTACGCGTATGAAAGTATTTACGGTTTAGTGTTTAATGGTGTAATAGCTAATATTACAGACTTATGGTATGCATGTTTGTGTACAAACGCCATGGCTGGCATAATGTTAATATATTTTACCACAGAATACTCAACTTGAATAAAATTATGTAGGTAATAACTACTATGTTTCATTACTTATTAATAGATAATCAATTTGATTTGTTAGAATAATTCCATACAAATAATAAATATATTAATCCAAACATTATCGTTCACATAAATTATCATAATAATCATACGTATTATAACATAATAAAAGACATGTTTCAATATATTCAAGACGAAAAAAAAACATAATAATAAGACAAGAAGCGATACTTTTTGCTTTAAGTGCTTACCAAAAAAACCATTTCGTTATAAATGTATATAATTATTTGACATTGAAAATTTTTACGATCAATAATACAAATATTAATTATTTTGATTAAAAATAAACACAAATCAAAATTATATGTGTAGGTGTTATTATTTCTATCTTATATTTATAATATTTATAAACATTTTGTTTATAAATGATTATTTTTTTTTATTGATTTTATTTATTTTTTTTATTCCAACACGTGTGTGGTCAAATCTATTTCAAGAAATTGTTGTTCAAAAGTATTTCTCTAATCGTCAATTGAACATTATACATTTTGATAACGTAAAATAGTGATCTCCAAACTTTTGAGACACACACTTACTCCACGAACAATTGAGAAAAATGAGTGATTTAAAATTAAGCAGGATTTCCATAGCACCGTATCATACCATGCCCCATATATTTAAATTGTAAGTAACAAAATATCGGTAATACATTATCTACAAGTTTAAGAACATGATATGATTGATATGGTTTAATATGGAAACCTCTCATTATTTATTTTTACAGTTTTGTGATCATTTAAATAGTAGGAATAGCATAAAAAATCTATGATTGTATACACCGTGCATTTTAATCTGTCATAGGTATAATGTGTGTTGCGTGTACATTAGGCCAGTCAGCTATAAACTTTATATATTATTTATTATGTTTAATTTATTTTAATCTATAATAACAGGTTTAGTCAACTGAAGAATTATATTTTAATTACATTTATGGTATACCATACTTAAAAGCTTACAATGTTTTAGTGGCTAGTGTATATAATACCTATATATACCTGTCAGTAACGTAACATGAGGCCTTCAGACTATTAAACTATCGAGTAACCTGAATTGACTATTTTTTAGTGTTTTTACTGTTTTTAATTTTTTAAATAACTCAAACATGCTACAGTATTTGTTTCTTTTAATCGTGTACAATGTTTCAAACCTATTTTACAGCAATATTTATTCTAAATTGCAGCTTGAAACACGAATACAACGCGCAACTGATTGAGAGATTTAAAGAGGGAGTTTAAGCCTCCCAAGTATTTTCATAACTTAGGCTTCTACATATTTCTGGATAACAAGTCACGAAAAATGTTTCCTTCAATAAAATGAAAAATTGTGCAATAATGAGTACCTATACTACTACTTCTTAGACTGTTTCTCAAATTTAGTTATTCTCAATACTATTGTTAATTTACTAAAGAATGATGGTACGTATTATATTAGAAATATATATATATATAATTTAAAAGATAGGCATTTTTTTTTAAAGTTAGAATTGATTTATAAATTATATATAATTTATATTTACATAAATATTATCATAAATCTTTTTTTAAATATAATCCACTTATAAATACGGGCGACATTCATTTGATGAATAACCTAAGATTTACCTGAGTAGAGCATAATATATCATTTGGATAAGAAATTAATCGATCATTAAAATGAATTTATAAATCATTAAATAATAAGGAAGTAACATACCTACCTATATAATAATTTTTATTTATTTACTAGGTACAACTAACTATTATTATTATATCGTTTGAACTGATTGGTGATAAGTCATAACTATTTTTTTAAAGTGTCAAAACCAATTTACAAATAGGTATACATTAAGATTATAGAAAGAATATCAAAACGGAAAATTAACAATAATAGATCATATTAAACAAATGGGTATGAGATATCACACTAATAAAAAAATTTAGTTAAGATAATAAATATGATGTAATAAATTATATGACAATATAATACATTTTTAATTATACTAGTTTGAGACTAGAGTTGACTAAGAGTCCTAAGTCTCTAAAAATGTGAAAGAAAACATGAATTCGCCTAAACGCTATGTTATTTTGGGTTATTTGACCCAAATGAAAGCCGCCTACAAATATATAAAGTTTACATTAAAATGTAGGGTATATTTTCACACAAACCAATAAAAACCCTTCCCTCCCTAAAAATAAAATAGCTGTCATAATTACGTCTATGGCTCAAAAACGTATTAATAATGCATCTTGTACAGTAAAAACTTGTGTATATTTTACACTATTTATATAGCTATTCGTGAGTATTACCAAATTTAAGTTCATCAATAATATGATGTCCAAAATTAAAAATGTTATATCAATATTTTTTTTTTTTAATTTCTGATTGAATTTAGTTTATAAAATATAAAATTGTTGATGTCCTACATACAAACACATCGATAATGTGATATAGGCTCCAGGGAAATGCATACTAGTGTAAAGTATGTACATAAAAAAAGTAGTTCATGATGTAGTTGTAATTTACATAATTATTCAAAAGAAATAAAAAGCACGCCATTCTTAAAATATAAATAAATATAAAATATTAACCATTGATTACGAATGAATAATAATAAAATGAAATAGTTAACAACATAAACCAATATACCAACCTATTTATTTTATAATTAAAGGATATGAAAATGAAATGTCGGTAATAAATAATAATTTTATTGCATGTAATAGACGTTATCGGTGCACATGGTATGGTATGCGAGGCACGAAACCACAAAATATTGTTTTCTCAAGGTAAGTGCAATGATAATAATATCATAATAAACAAATCCCATCTTTATTTCTATATTATATTTGAATATTCCATTGGTCCAATAAAATACCAGCTGTTATTCGCTACCTACAACAGTTAAATTGAAAACAAGATAACTAATATTAATCTATTAATCATAATTTGTGTGCGTAATAATTATATATGATTAAAATAATATCATATGATAAAAATACCTTATTATACGTATTATCAATGCCCGAATTAAAATTATCAATTTAAATGTACATATGATAGCACTCTAGAATAAAACATGACGGCACTAATCGTATTTTAAATGTGATTTTCTATACATCGTAGTTATCACTGTAATAACAACGAGTATGCCACGATTTGTACCACAACGACAGTGTAGCAGTGCATTACAAAGAACAAACGCTCTCGGGTATATATTTACTTACTTGCTCTCGGCCGATCTGCGGTAACATAATAAATATCAATCATAATAAAACACATTTTCAACACAAGTTTTCTGTACGTTTTATTCGCTGGTATCGTCTATCACAATTTATTTAGTCATCTAACGCAACGTTCTTCCGTTTGTTTACGATAATCGTTCGTACGCCATCCATCTATCGTCGTCACAGCGGTCACACATCATCGTCGACATTCAATATTTTATCTACTTACATTTATTGGCGATTGCCGACACATCAATATAAACCGTCGTCGTCATGTACACATCGAAACCTGCGACCAACGTCGGCCGGATACTTTTGCATCGGGCCCTTCAGTTCCGGCGGGAGAGGTCGTCGGCGACGTCATCGAACGTAAGGGTCGTAAACGACGTACGCCACATCCGGGGCGAATACGGTCGCGTGACCGACGCCGAAGTCCATCATTTCCAGTCGCTGCTGGGCGAACCGAACGTGCTGACTGGCGCCCAAAACGTCGGGCCGTACAACGTGGACTACATGAAACACACATTGGGTAAAGACAACAATTGCATTATTGTCTATTACAATTATTATTGTTATTGTGCATCAAAGTCATGGCCGTGATTTTAGAAGGTCTCTGACATTGAGCTGCATCAATCAAAAACAAAATGCGAAAACACCTAAACCTAGAGTGGCTAGCGTAAAATATGTGCGATTTGTTTACACTGTTCATAACATTTTCGACATTTGATAACTTCATATAGTAATACAGCTGAATATTTTCTTATCGAAATATTGATGAAATTTCAAAATTTTCCAAGTTTTACTTATGCAATCCATTTTTATTATAGACTTTGGTAATAATAATATGTCGGCAAGCGAAAAATGAATGTCATTAGATAAAAAAATAAATCTTCACATTTATAAGTTACTTTAGACCTATAGGTGGGTATTTCGGTAGCCTAGGTAGGTACTTATAGTGAAACGTCCATTATCTGCACGTCAGTTAATTGGACTGTCATCAATAATCCGCACTACAAAATTGAAATATACAAATTTATTTTTAATTTAATTTAATTTAGTTTTATCATTCGTTATGTTCGATTTATAACCTAAGCCTAACCTAACTTAACTACTACGGCTCATTTTAATGTAGAATGTATATTTAGTTAATTCGTAAACGTTAAAAACAAAAAACAAAAAATGGTTATTATTTCAAATAAATACAAAAATGATCAATTTTCTTTTTATATTTTGTATGTATAATGTATATTATAATTTTAAATTTTAAATTTCAATAAATTATACTACAACTTTTAACAATACATAATATACAATATTCTGTCATATGTCAAACATACAGTACATTCATTTTTAAATTTAATTTTTAATTATTATTAGATTATTCGCACCCCCTCAAATCCAATTAGTACGGATAATCGACGCTCTACTGTACTTATTTTATTTTTATGCTTATATTGTCAAATAATTAGATTTGTTTGATTGTTTCTAAAATATTGTCGTAAAGTTCATCCCTCACTGTGAAATAAATCGATGATCGATCAATAAATATATTTAGTGTAAACTCTAGGTTTATATTCGTACTGTATAATACATTAATATACCTAATGTAGTAATGTTGTAGATAATAACGTTTTGAGCGAGAAAAATACTCTGTCGTTTGCTGATTGTTTCCGACCGGTCAGAGTTCAAATAACTATCAGCTATATAATACTTTCCTACATGACTATGTACCTGTATGTACAATACTTCACTCTCGTGGTCGTGTAGCAGCACAAACATGATACACTTATAGTCTTTATTGATTTTCGCCACAATCCGTTTTTCTTTCAATATTCTGGCGCCGTAAATGCGCACCATTTATCTTTGTTGTGTTCTTCCCATTCCTGGGTTTTCTCTCGCACCGTTTAATTTCGAACCCCACTGTTGAATTATTGTTTTAGTCCTGCAGATGAACATTGTTCGTATTATACATCCACGCGCTCGTTCTACTAGGTACGTTTTATTACAACGAACGCGTTAATTTTTTTTATTTTTTTTTTTTTTTTTAACACATGACAGTATGATACAGCTAATTGTACTTAAGTTTATCTTCATTTTTAAGAAATGGTGTACAGAAGCTAATTAAAAAAATTTGAACTATCTACTGCGTTAATATGCTATTTTATGGTTTTTAACGACGTTTATTAAAATCAAATATTTCAACGTCATAAAATATTAAATACAAAAAAATAATATTAAACGTATTGTCGTAAATAATTTTTTAAAGAATCCTAATGCTACTATATACCGTCATAATTTTATTAACCGCACACTACTATACATAAAATATACACGTCTGGGTTATATATTTCAAACAATACATATTATGATTATTAATCAAATCATTGCCATTAGAGCTTGACATTTATAGAAGCAAAAATAGACAAGAGCAAGAAAAATGCAAAATTATTGAATAATGAAAATACGAAATATAACATTTTTGATTAACCGAAAAAATTAGAAATGAAAGCAAAACAATTTTTTTTTCAAAACTTAAAATTAATTAATCAGAGTTGGCGCTTTATATAAATTACTATAGGTACAAGATAATAAATTAATAAACAATAATAATGTTGTTAATTATCGAAGTAAAGATTAATAAATGTAAAAGTGCCTTTTCATTATTCTAGTTATTATAAATATTTTTTTCAACTGTGTATTTAAATTATTTAATATGATTTCAATTGAATTAAAATTTTTTTAATAAATTAAATTAATTTCTTCGAAAATTAAAAAAATATGAATAATATTATATAAAATATATTATGTTTCCATAGTTTGGTATAACATTTATTAAATTACTAAACCCTGTATTTTTAACACAAAAATTAATAATTTCCGTGTTCAAACAAATCAATTTTAGCCATGTAGTACACGTAACTCCTCATTACCATGTAGGTACTAATGAAAATTATTCCAATAAACATAAAAATTAGGTTAACGATTGTTGGGGAGATGTATAATTTTTAATTACGGCTGGTTTTCTGTTAACTATTGAACCCAAAATCAATAGAAATTATATGTGTAAATAAATATAATATATATTATTTATTATGTATAAACTATAATGTATTTAGACATATTGTGTGTGTGTAATATGCATTAGTTCCAATTAGTTTTATTCTAGGGTGCGGCGTAAAAGGGTGGATATTATGGAATTTCAAATTCGCACGGTTGATGGAGGGTGAAATCCATCGAAAAATCAGTACAAAATAAAATTTAATTATTGTTACATAATATGAAATAAAACGATTTTTAGATTATTCACTCCTCACATTTACCTACACTTGTAATCGTATATATTTATATAGCAAAAATCATACAATTCGCACTTATAATCAGCTAAAAGTCAACTTATTCTATTATGTATGAGTGTATGACCCACAAAAAATAACCTAACCTAATTTTTTCCAGAGTATATATATTCTCGACCTACGACAATAAATTGTTGAAATAGTCTATAAAGTTAACGTAAAAATAATATTGAGAAATATTTTGGTAGGAATAGGATATGGATTTATGACTTATATTGTTGCTATTAAAATTATCTTATATATTTTTACTCAAATTTACATAAATTGTTGTACCTCAATACAAATCCAATATCTATATAATTAACGCTGTAGTATCTAATACGACAATACAAATCTGAGAATCAACTAAAGTGTACTTCTATTCAAAAATAGTTCCATTATGGTCAAGGACCCGACTCGGATGCAATCATTTCTTTTATAATACGTATATCGCGGGATGACTCGATTCACCCCCTATAACCGCCAACAAATTACAACCGTGTCACAAAAACCAGACAATGACAGTCGCATTGAAATTTTATGACTATAAAACGTCCAGAATTAAACGCACGTACTTAATGTACAAATTTTAAATATAAATAGAGCTATATAAACCCAGAGTAAATGGGAGCCCCGAGCCTGGGTGACACGGTTTTGGGACATATAGATTTTATAGGGCCTAATTCTTTCCCACCATATACATTTTTGTATATTTATAGTGATTAAGCTACAACTCAAAGGGCTACATTTCATACACATCAAGATGATTCACTATTCACTGAATATGATTACCTCGATTTTTTTTTTTTGTAATAAGTTTATTCAAATTCTAATTTTTGGAATTTTCAAATAAACTTAAGGATCATATTTTAAATTATTTAAATTATTTATACCATTCTGTGGTAGTATAAACTTCTTTTTTCAAATGAGAATTCTTTAGTTATTAAAATATATACAATAAGATATAATTTTTAAAATTATACTACGAAAATATAAAATAAGAATATATAGATAAGAATAGATCTAGTATTTATTATACACTTGTCTATTTTTACAAAGAATAAAATGTTGATAGATCTAAATTAATTATAGGTACTAAAAATGTTCAAATCATCATAACTCACATAGCCTGTATCTTTTAAAATCATATAATTAAAAAAAAATTCTTTATAAACTTATAAAAATTATAACCAAATGAATGTAATTTATCCACATATAACTACCACTTAACTCGTAGTATTCACATAATATAGTAATAATATAATATAATCTATCTATAATATATCGTTCCTGATTAATTTTAATAAAATATAATCAACTAAATTATGACTTAGTATGCTGTGTATTATATTGTTTGCAGTAAATTTTACGGATAATTAATTATAAATCACTAGTTCAAAAAATCAGTAAACACCTTCATCCCTAATATTTCGACAATGGCATAAATTTAAAAGAAAAAAATAGAAAAATACTCCATACAACATACAAAGAGTACTTTGATATGTATGAAAATATACTCGATACAATGTAAAATGCCATTTGTACTTTTTACGATTGTTCTCATTACTATCATTTTTCTTATTATTATTTTAATGTTTATGTTTGATTGACGTATGCGTGTGTGCTGTTTGCAGGCAACAGTGGGCTAGTGTTAAGACCAAAAACCGCAAAAGACGTGTCGGACATACTGAAGTACTGCAACGACAGAAGAATTGCGGTGTGTCCGCAGGCGGGCAACACGGGCATATCGAGCGGTAGCGTGGCGCTCTTTGACGAAGTGGTCTTATCCACGGAGCGGATGAACAGTATAATTAATTTCGATCCAGTGTCCGGTAAGTAGGCAAAAAGTAAAAAGTATTAAAATCATAACTGTTCCTTTTACGTTTATAAAATACATAGTAAAATAATATCATTGGATAATATTTTACGGTGTACAATTATTGTGCATTCGTGCCGCACACAAACGACATAGGCGATGGCGATTTTCCAAAATCGTATTTCAATAACGTTGTCCGGAAAAAAAAAGTGCTATTGACGGGGACGGCGATAAGTACCCTATTTTGTATTCTCGCGTGCGTGTGCGATTCTCGAGCACGGTCGGCGGCGTCAAAACCACATAGACAGTATTAGTAATACACTAGGTATATTATAACAGTTGTGGTATACACCATATTATATATACCACGTTGTTATAGACCGAGTTTTGCACGCTTACCTATACGTATGCTTAACAGTGTTGTATTACTGGCGGCGAGTATATAGAAGTACCGTAGATTATGTACTTCACACAATATCATATTATAATATGTATAATAATATATACCATTATAATATGATATTATACCGTAACGTACATTATTTAGGGTAATATTTGTGTAGGATGATATTATATACGCTGTGGTGTATCTTCAATGTTTTGGCCTGGGAAATTGTCAATGATATTTATAGGCTCACTCATTCACGATGTTTTTTTCAATCTTTTGGCCATGCAATAAATATTTTTAGTAATCAAAAAGGTGCTATACTTTTCCACCAATATTATTGCAGTTAGTTAATATCCACTATCCACCAACTGCACGCTTATACCCAAATAAGTTAAAAAATAAGTTAATACCTATAGCTTATTCTCTTTTTGGAAAAACAATAAATAATATAAAACAATTTTAAAATATACTAAAATAAAACTTTTTAAAATTTCAAATGATTAATGCTTGCAGTGAATGAATTTAGCCAAAATAGGTATAATATAGTATTTTGAAAAAAAAAACAACTATAGATTTTTCTTTTGAGATCAGAATACCATTACAAATCCTCAGGACCATTTATTATTATTATTATTTATATTATAATTTTAAATATCTTACAAACCTATACTAACAAACATTTTACATATGGTAACGTATTTATTTGTAATATTTTTTTTCATAAATATTATCAAAGGTCACCTTAAAGAAAAAAATAATAAGAACTTGAGTTAGTTAAATTCAAGTTCAGAACATTAATTTACTTATTAATAGCTAATAAATAATATACTTAAATTTTAAACTTAACAGTAATATGCAGAAAAAAACTAACAAAAAAGTAAATTTTTTATTACTACCCATTAGTTATTTTGCATTTTTTATTTATTTTTTTTTTAAAAAACTTTTCATTATGTTTTACGTATTGCATATTGTAATTATAAACAAAACTACAGAATAGGCTAGTCAAGACATCAGTCTGTGTCCTTACCTAATACATACAAAACGTTGGCCTTAGAAAAAATACAGATTTGTGAGTCTAAGACATAAAATAAGGACAATTTTTATTTAAAAAAAAAAACCTTTGAACATGGTAAATGGGTACAATTTTTCATTTATATGATAGAGAATACCTACAGTAATGTATCCAAACATTATCTGGTATTATCTTTGGAATTCAATCGTAACAAAAACCACAAGCAAAGAAATATTTTTTTTAGGTGAAGAACAATATTTTGATATTATATTTTTGCCGAACTGGTGAAAATGTTTAGTTACACATAAGACTGTATTGGTTTAGGCAATAACAATTACTCGTGTTTGGTGTTAGTCTATTAAATTATTAAATCAATAGATATTTTATTTAAAATCATTGTATTTGAATACGTAAAATAATATTTTAATATTTAATTAGTTTTATTTTAAACCACATTTATAAATAAGTAGGTACCTATTATTTTTAAAATTAACTAAAAAATGGCTATGTTATTATTTATTACAATGGACGAGGGCAATTAATCTATAGTTAAGCTATTAAGTTAATTAAATAATTAATTAAATAGTTAATGCACACTTTTGCGTATAATATTCATAAATCATAATAATATACATTAAAGTATGTTTACGTATAATGTATATTATAGCAGTATAGCACGTGGCGTGACGTGTGTAAAGTCAAAAATGTTTGTAGGTTTAGACATTTTTTATTCGTGTATCGAGTTGTGGCATCAGCGTTAAATTGGCACCAATTATATTTAAACAAAAAAATACATTTTCACAAAATATTAAATATGATACAATTTATACAAATATGCTAAAAATATTCAATAAAATAAATACAAACTTTATATAAATTTAGTACATTTTTAGCTTAAATCAACTGTGCCTCTACATTATATAATTTTCATATAATTTAATCTTTTTCACTACGCGATAAATAACATTATGTTTGAAAATAGCTTATTGCTTATTAATAAATCCCTACGTATTATAATTCTGCTGATATTCATACACTATATATATAATGTTACCTATTAGGTCTTAAAATATTTTTAAAACGGCTCAAGGATCGTTCTACATCAACCGTTGAAATTAAAGCATATTTAAAGCGCGTAATATCTGAAGACGATAATTCCACATTTTTAAAAGGATATCTGCCAATTATTATTTCATTGATTGTTTTAAAATCAATATAACCTATCTTCAATAAACCTCTCCTCTACGTCTGTCGTTTCATCGATAGGCACTCAAATGGGCTCAACTTAAATCACACCTTGAGTTGAAGAAAGTGTTTTAAGATAAATATATCTATTATAATTTTTTCTCATTTAGTTATTACTAATAACTAATATACCTAATAATACTAACTAAATTACATATTAAATTAAAATCTACATTTCCTTTAGAATAAATAAAATTGCTCGCAATAACAGTTAAAATATTTAAATTATTTGCTTCCTTGCAGTTAAACACGAAATGGCAAAAATAAAATACGAGAATACATATATTTACTATTAAGTATATAATTTTACTTTAAGCCATAAGAATGAAGATTTTAAGCAGACTCGAACTTTATATGCACGTGTTCCGCGTACCAAAACAGGAAAAGTTTGTTTGAAGTCCCAGCCAGTATAAAACTATAATTCCATATCTAAGTCTGTTGTAATTCCTAATATACTGGAGTGTTCTATCTAGAGTCTCGACACCTTTTTTATGGGCCATAGCGCACTCACCCCATACAATAATTTTAGCTTTAAAAAAACCAAAGATTACTCAATCACTGAAATGATTTGATAAACTCGAAAGAGAATTAGTAATACCTAACTAGTAATTTATAAGTATTTAAATATACCTAATTTATACATGAACATCTGAGTAGTAGAACAATATTTTGCGAAAACCCTTGTGCGACACCACTCTGTTACTCAGTTTAAGTAACTATAGTAAATAAATACTGATGCCGAAAATACAATTTTTATATAGTATTAAAATTTTCAAAAAAATATTCAGCATTGGAATACTAAATTAAAAATAGTGTCCTAGTGTCCATAGTATCATAAAAAAAATAAGTTTTTGAAATTACAAATTGATAACGATAAAAAATTAATAATATAAAATTGTTTTTCAAAAACGTTATTTTATAATGGTTCAAATCATACACAAAAAAAAAAAAAATCCAAAAACCTCAATATTATGCTTTTTGATCAAATACCTAGCCTAACCTTTAACTCTAACTATATGAACGTAATGGTGTATGATATTATACGATCATTTTCGCGAACCCTTAGTTTTGATAACTCTTTGTATTACATACAAAATGAAATATAAAGTTACAGTTATAATTACTAAATACCAATAATAATTTAATCAATAGTGATATAAAATACTTGTATACAATATAATACTCATACACGTACCTACGTATATTATTTTATGTACATTTCAATAATACAATATACTGTTTCATTTTATAGGGGTGTTGGTGTGTGAAGCAGGATGCGTACTCGAGTCGTTGATGAAGCACGTAGAAGGTCATGGGTACATGATGCCGTTAGACTTGGGGTCGAAGGGCAGTTGTCAGATCGGTGGCAACGTGTCGACCAACGCCGGCGGCATACGAGTCATACGGTACGGCACGCTACAGGGGTGCGTCTTGGGCCTAGAAGCCGTAAGTCGATAAATAGAAAAACAGAGGGGTGATGAGCATATAGTCGCGTAAATCGCAGCCATTGCAATTCCACGACAGGATCAAGCCATGGGGCTGCGGATGGCGCACGTGTATACATATCGTCCCCAATCGACGGTTCGTTAGATCCTCTGTGTGTGTGTGTGTTTAACTCAACACCCCCTCCCTGTCAGTTTACCGTCTGGTTTTATTCGATTGATGGGATCATAATATACATGTATGTGCGTACGCAACCCCTGAGAGGGTTTTGAGTGTGCATCCGACCGGAAAACCCTGTGGGCCTCATGCACTCTCACACGCCGCTGCGATATTTATACGTGTGTGTACTTATTACTTTGCCGCGTGTAGATATTATTATGTTTACATAGGGCGACGCCGACGACGATGATGATGATGATTACGGTGACATGGTGACGGTGTATAGTTCGTATATATATATATTTATGCGATAACCGTGCAACCGAAAACCGTGATGATAGGTCCAAATAAATTTCATATCGCAGACGCGTGCGGTAAACTGTATTGTTTGAGTGCGAACAAATAATTATGAATCGAAAAATAAACATGACGGCTGTTATGAATTATGACACTGTAACTGTATTACGATAGATAATATTAAAATGCACAGGCTTAACAGTAATAATAATGATCGATTTACGTGCTCTACAATATAATATATCTTATTATAATATACATTATTCGTCATTGTGTAATAACGTATGCGCAGAGCTTTTGCAAGCTGTGTCGCGAACTTACTGCTCACTTCACGCGCACGAAGTACGCGAAACAAGTCGTTTTCGTGGTTGATTCGTCGTAGTATGTAATAACATTATAATAATCGTTTTAATTCATGCGCGAGTATATTATAATATTATACACCGACGTGGCCCCATACATTCAGGATATACACACCGTAAACTCCAATAGTTACGTATATATCTAATATGTTTTCGTATTTCGCTATAAGATTATATTCATATCAGCTATATATATATATATATATATATATTATCGTACTAACGGTTTGAGCTTCTGTTGTTTTTCGTGACTGTCGTTTAAAAAATGTTACACTTGCGGTTTATGCTTTACTCGTATAGTGGTTGATGGCCTTAGAAGGGTTTTTGTCAATAATTTTGAACGCAATCGCCTATCTGAATGCTTTTTAGTGTTTTTTTCTCGCATGCTTTTCGAGTTTTAGTTAACAAAACATTCTCGTGCGTATTATTGCTGTTATTACACGCCTAATGTATTCTAAACCCGAAACGGGCAGAGCTGAACTGCTTAAATAATAACGTTAGAAAATGTAAACACGCAAAACGAAAAATAATGTATATCATTAAAAGTCGAAACACAAAATGGAAAATTACTATACGTATAGACATTACTTGTTTGTTTATTTAATACACTGCACCGCTGCGTTGAGAATTATGGCTAAGTGAGTGGGTGAGAAGGGGCTCTGCATCAATATAGCTGATTACAATCATTTCGTTTTCGGGCGATAATATTTTAAACTACGATTCGACAGTAGTTAAATATTCACCTGTACATAAATGCACTTTTATTTATAAACCGTTATGGCTGTATTTTTTTAACATTGTCGAAGTCTGGCGAAACACAATGATGTGAGACACGAATGTTTTTAAAGCATAGGAATCCGCCTAATTGACGTGTAAAATATAATTTAAAACAATAGTGGTTATTATTGCCATTATGCTTAAATAAACACGACGGGTCGATTGAAATAATTACTAAACAAAGTGATAGGTTACTATTAAAACTAAAAGGGTACGTAATCAATTTTTTCTAGATTATGACAACTATCATATGTAATTTTACTCGAAAGGTACCCGCGGCTGTCCAATGTATCTGTCGGTCTTCATTGTGCTTTAATGAGATATTGCAGCAGCTCTGTCAATACTATACTGAATAATAATATATACTATTTACTTATAACAATATGATACAGTTATTGTATATTTGTATGGTCATATGTATTATACCACAAATACTAAATTATAAATTTATATGTATTATTAACACACCAAACAAACTTTTGTATTTTCTTCTTCTGCAACAGTCATTCGTACTCTCTAAAACCCCGAAAAAAATAAATCAAACTACACTCTCTTCCCACACTACACAGGCATTAACGTAAACAATACATGAAACAAAATTAAAGAAAGTTCTCAATTTATCTTGGCCATTCTCCTCAAACCACTTGGTTTACATCGCACATAAAGAACGCCTATAACTATCTAAAATATCGCAAGGCAGAAATCAGAACACTTGAGCGTATAATTTATCATAGAATCAAATTCAAGATTTCCTCTAATCTTGCTTTGTCACTAGTTTCATACCCTTCGACCAACATACTGGTGCTTTTCAATAATACTAAAATTTAAAAACTAATACACCCAATCCCAAATTTTAAAGGTTTTTCCTGTATCCATTACAAATTATTGTATTTTTTTGTGACTTACAATCTTAACATGTATAATCAATGTATGTGGTCGTTGGTGGTTAAATTTAATACGAACCCATAACTGTATCGGTACCTACCTAATTTACGGAAAACGTATTGTAATGTTTTCTTTTCCTCTCTCTTCTCTCTCTCTCTCTCTCTGTTTTACATTGCGTCAAAAACGAATAAAAAACAACGGTGGAAAACGCAACATAATAAACTGCTCCGTGACGGCGAAGGCGGTGCCAAAATAAGTTTGAACGGTCGAATACGCGACTTTGGGGCCCTAAACTTTTACTTAATTACGTGTGTTTTCATTGGCACCGAAATCGGAATTGGTATGCACAGTGCGTATACGGTTTCCACGGAATGCCATAGCCTCCTCTTTCCGCTTGTTCACGCTACCCGTCAATTCTCAAACGACATCAGTTCCCTCTCAACCCCCACTATTGTAATTGCGTATGTCTGCCGCCGTCGCCGGTGATTTAGCAATCGGCCCGACGCTCAATTAAGTGGGTTCGGTTTTTTCTTTTAACTTCTCTTTTTCTTTTTTTTTTAATCAAATCAGTGTTTTATGTTGTTCTCTTCGTTTTTTTTTTTTTTTTTTTATCGCCCAGACATCTACAGAAACTCTCGAAGCTCACTATAATATATATCCACGGACCACGACGCCAACCCTCTTTTTATTCATTAAAGCCATTTATTTTTTCCTCCTTTTCTTTTTACTAAATTTTACTGGAAGGCTGTGAACGAGATTTTTTTTTTAATTAGACACAACCTTCGTTCTTATAATGTATACAGTATATTATAGTTGTATGTGTTGTACTATAGTATATTATTAACACCATCATTATTAAAGTAAAATATTAATATACTGAAATGAGACAAATATTTTTAAATGTTTATATTAAAGGTATACCAACTGCGGGAAAATTAATAAATTAATGCTGTAATAGTCTCGTCCATAATACACACAATTTCGTTGGGAGTAACAAACATTTTATTATTGATACCATTTACGAAATGAAAACTTCACAATATCTTTATTATAATAATATACTTTAGATGTTTACTATTTAATAATATGTTATACTGCGGTATAAAATAACTATCGTTATTGCATTATAATTATAATAATAATTATCGTTTATTGGACGTAAATTATTTCCTCATTCATCATATAAGGTATTTCTATTTTCTATTAAATAATGAATACCTATCATTAATATTTATTCAATAAAACAATAAGAAAATCTAATTTAATCGTATAGGTCACTGCAGATGGTACGATTTTGAACTGTTTAAATACAATGCGAAAAGACAACACAGGATATCATTTAAAGCATTTATTTATTGGTTCAGAAGGCACGTTGGGTATTATCACCAAAGTAGCAATAATGTGTCCAAATCTTCCAAAGCACGTGAATGTGGCATTTATTGGTAAGTAAATTCTTAATCGCATTTAATATCTATATACTATTTTAGATTTTTCATGAATTATTTCAAACTTAAACATTTTTGGCAAAAATAATTTTTTTTTTTTTTTTTTTTTTTTTTTTTTTTTATAAGATACATTATAACTATTAAATTATTAGTTTTATTATTAAATTTATTATCAGTTGTCTAAATTGATGTATAATTAAACTAACCATAAATGTAATAAAAAAAATATTTATTTATAGTAAATATAAGACACACACTATAAATAATTCTTCTTTAAAAAAATGTCATCAAATTTTAAATATTCTATGGAACAAACAATTTAATTAACAATGATATTTCAATTAAAAGATTTTTTCAACAAATTACTCGTGGCTAATAACCATAACTAAAATAATACCATCAATTCTTGAGCATTTATTTTAAAATTAAATGGTACTTATTCCGCTTAGCGTGCTTGCTTAAGAAAAACAATTAATGAAAGCATTTGTGTACTTTGTTTAAAATATGATCACAGAAATAGCTTAAGTGGAAAACTCCTATTACGGTGATAAGTCGGACTGATCATATTATGATAAAAGGATAAGTGTGAAATGTTTACTTGTTATTTAATTTATGATTGTCAAATTAAAATTATGTGATACTATTCTCATATTAAATTTAATATTAGTTAATTTTTCGAAGAGTATAACAAAGATTCAAGAAAATTTACAAAATTAATTTATTTTCGTATAAATATTGAATATCTGTATTTAAAATAATGTTAATTGTTAGGGTCTTAAAAATATATTAAATTGAAATAGTTAATTAAATTTAATAATTATAATCATTACCAATATAAATTTATAACTGTAGGTACTTATGTTTTTTCACTATAAACATTATTTTCTTTTTTACAAATAATATCGGAAATAGGAAACGATGTATACTTTTATATGGCTCTGAAGTGTCATACCTCACAAATCTTACGGATTGATATTTTTGTTATTATATATTATCAGACAATGAAAAAATTCTGAAATTGAGATAAAACCAACAATTAAGGACCACTTACCCAAATTATGGATGTTTATGTCAAATATTTAATTTTTTCAGCAAATAAATTACCATATTTTATTATATTATCATTTACAGCTTAGCGGGCCATCAGGGTCAAACGCCATCATTACAAACTTTTGTCGTTCTTCCGTATTATATGCTATATCTAACTCAACTTCTTGTAGTGTTCTTAGATTCCTTATGATAGAGTCCTTCCATTTTGTTCTAGGTGTGCTTAAAGGTATTTTACCTCTTATTTCTACCATAAGTACTTGTTTGATAATTTGGTCCTCTGCCTTCCATACATATCCAAGCCATTCAAGTCTTTTATTTCTCGTATATATAGAGAATATTTGGTTTTTCATAGAGCTCATATACTACGTTGTTATGTTTTCTTTCATGTTGTTCCGTTTCTCTGTTGTATTTGGGATCATAGATTCTCCTTAGAATTTTCCTTTTAAAAGTTATTAAACTCTGGTGATTTCCCTTGGTAGTTTACCAGGTCTCATACCTATGTGTTAATATGAACTTTAGGTGGCTGGTGTTCAGGGTTTTTTTTATTTGTAAAATATATTTTTTTAATTTAAATAGATTTACTAGACGGTACTTATTTTATAGTATATTTTTCTTTTCAACATTTATCACACTTCAGCGCGTTTAAGGCTGGAAATAATTACTTAAAGAACTTTCTTTGACATGTCAATATTGCGTGGTGTAGAAGTGTTTTCTATGGTAATATATACAATTGAAGTAATTGAACATTTATATACAATTAAGTACGTATACATATAGATGACTGAATGGCTCACTCAGTTTATTATCCGGCGAACAATATTTTTAATTTTAATATTTGTCGATTATTCCGTTATCACTTATTACATGATTAAAAACAATAAAGGAAAGTACTAATTGCTAAGTTTTTTTATTTTAACAAAATATGAGTTAAATAAATTATTCAATTATAGAAATAGAATAGTATATAACTATTAACTTTCAAAATAGAAAAACACAATAATATAGTATAAATGATAACATAAAATATAAATATAATATTAGTACCTAACTATTAATATTAACTGACCAAATAAAACAATTTAATGTTTTTTTTATGTAAGTATCAAAAATTAAAAACTAAAGAATTCACGTAGTTGAATAAATTAACATTAAATGTAAGAAATGTACTATGATTATAATAATTTTAATCTAAAACTATAAAGCAACATATAAATTTTGTAAACAAAAACGTAGTGTTTATCTTATAATTTTCTTAGTTAAAAAAATTAAACACTTTTAAGAGTATAACCATTAACCATAATACGATAGAAGTTACTATACATAAACATAAATTAAACAATTTTACATTTTTATTTTAAAATTATTTATTGTTCATTTAAAATATTTTGTCGAAGTAAATCCGATAAATAATAAATGATAACAAATACCACATGAGTTAAAACTTAACACAAAAAGGTACTAAAAAGTAATAGCTTTTAAAATAATTTCTTTGGCAAAAAAATCCAGCGTAGAAGTTAACTGTGTCCCGTTTGTAAAGATCATTTATTTATATAAATCGCTGCAGGTTAAAACTATTACATGTCATATATTATGTATAAGTTTTCCTAACATGTTTTCCTATTTTCCTGAAAAAGTACAATGAAAAAACAAAAAAAAACACTATGTAAATAATATAGTCTATCCAATATTATATACATTATACATTAAATATCCTTTTTTTTTATTCGTGCGAGTAAAACGCCTGATATAAATATATATATAATATATAATAAAATCGTCTATTATACTATAACACGAAACAAACTAAATAAAAGATATCAAATATATCGACGTCCTGTAAATATACCGCCGCTAATACTGGAGTTTAATAGTGACACATTTTTACATTAAGTTGTTTTTCCTAGTTAGTACATTAAACATATATACATATACATACTGTCATTACTGTTTAAATCTTACAATTATGTATATTTTTTATGAATTCCAACCGAAAACGCAATCGCTGTAAATCTTTTTCTATTTTTGTGAAATTTAGCTTTAATTTGATCAACAGGATTGGATAGTTACGATAAAGTTCTTGAGTTGTTCTCTATTGCTCGTGCTGAATTTGGAGAAACACTATCGTCCTTCGAACTTATAGATAACACAGCTATGACGTCCGTGGAAAACAAACTTCATCTCTCGTGTCCGATCACCAACGTCCATCCATTCTACATACTCATTGAACTCGCTTCTAGTCAACCGACTGTCGGTAAACACATGGAAAATATCCTGGAAAAAGTTCTCAATGACTCAATAATTTCCGATGCAACTACGACCGACCAGATATCCACCATACAAGTAACTATATTTGATTTTTATATGACCGTTTTAATACAACTCAATATTTTTAATACTATATTCTAATTTCTAATAAATATAGATGCCTAATCAAAATTATATAATGCTTTATAATTACATAGAATGTATGGGCTATTGCTAGTTGAACCTACATAACTGTATAATCATATAATGAACACAATACTTGTTGTTTGGTTGGAATTATATAAAAATGGTATAAAACAAAAACATAATTTTTTTCAGAAAATATGGAAAGTACGTGAAACAATAATTGAAGCGTTATTAAAGATAGGCTACGTATATAGCTTCGATATATCGCTACCTCTGAACAGATTTTATGAAATTGTTGAGTTAACTCGAGAAAAACTTAAGGGCATTGAAGATGTAAAAACTGTTTGTGGATTTGGTCACATAGGTAAGTTAAAAAAATAAATAATAATAATTAGTATAAACGTCAAAAAATTATCAATTATTAAATTTATTATTATTATGGCTGTCTAAAGTTTATAGGTAATAATTTAGTAATCGATACAACTGAAATTGAATTACTGAGTTTAAATTACACAAAAAACAATTATTAGATACTTAAATTATTTGTAATGTATTAAATTAAACGTACCTAATAAATATGATATTGATAAATGATAATTCAAAAATTTGTATTGTTATTATTCAAAATAATAATAATAGTAAATTAAAATATAGCCTAAAATTATATACATTACTAGAGTAAATTGATATGTTTATTATTTTGAAATTTTCATTCCGATAAAAAATAGTGCTTAATATAATTGTATCTATATTATTTATTCATGTTGTTTTACTATGCAATGTTCATTTAAAAAACAATATTTGAACGATTTCTCTTTTAGAATACTATTGTCATATGATAATTATAATCTATTTCAACAAATTAAAAAAAAAATTATTTAGCTATTATCAAGCTATTTTAATTTTAAAACGTGGTAACGTTCCATTTCAATATCAAGAAATACAACTAAATATTTATATTTTCATGATAATTATAAAAATCATAATATTATATTAATTAAATTTTAGTAAAAAAAAAACGTTAGCAAATATTTTTCTTTCTTTAACTTTTACAACACAACTTATTTAAAATAAAATGTAAAGAAACATAAAACTATTAATAATGAAAATACTAAAAACAAATTTGTAATTAATTACATCAAACTTCGTTATTATATTCTACATACATTTAATGCAACATTGGGCAGCCGACCCTTACTCCCAGGTCTTAAATTAAGATTTTTGAGTTTGACAATTTTAGTTTTGCCCTCATTTTTATAAAATATGTGTAAATTACTAATATACCGGTGCCGTCATCGAAGAATATAATTCAGTTGGGCATAGGTGTAAATCTGTTTTTGGATTGTTTATTACTTCAATATACGTATACGTATGTGAGTGTGTGTAAATTATTTATTAAGAACGAACAAAACTAAAAAATAATTTATTAAAATTAATTCAATTCTACTCTGTTTAAACATTTACTTGAGTCATTATTTCTTAAAGAAAATCAAATGTTGAAGAATACATTTTCACAAAAAATTAAGTAGGTCGTAGGTACTAGTCTATACAAAATGATTTATATATGAATGACTCCTGAAAACATTTATTTATTTTTTATATGCCCCTGATTAAATGACAGAATACGTATGTGCACCATTTAATCAGATTAATTATAGACAATTATACATCATCTATCATAGTACGAACTTAAAATTTTGCTACACGAATTAATGTTTATCAAATCAAAAATTCCGTAATTTCATGCAACAGTAGAAAAAAAAAACAATGTACAATTTATTGATATATATATATATATTAGTTTATGTTATTCTATACCTTAATACCATTTACAATCATGTTAAAAATCACGAACTTCTATGTTTACATAGTACAACCACTGCGCAATCGGTCACAAAAAGTTGACGTCAGTCATGATATAATCCGGTTTTCGGTAAACAAATGAAACCGCACATGGATGTTAAACCAACAATGTGTGTAAGCTATGCGAAAACTAGGTTAGTCATATATTTGACTTAGATCTTATAGTGGCAATTCTAAAACCCTGTATAACAATACCCACCGAGTTTACGTGAGCTTTCACGTCGAAGTCCCCTCGCCTACTCCATCCCCGTGCAACTGTAGTAATACGGACAAATGTCAACAGGGTCGTCGACTGAATACCTGCAGCTTAAACTTATTTAATTTCATCTACCCAAACAACATAATATAGATATAATGAATTAAATGTCAACCACACTACGTACACCAGATTTTTATGGACACGAATTATTTTCTACAGTTTGTTTTTTACTTGTCGTTGGATTAACTCTATAATGATGTGTTCGACACTGAACAAAATTTTAGGTCTTAAGTAAAAAAGTATTCATAGATTAAAAAAATTAATAATTTCAGAAGAACTATATAACTTTTACCAACTATTTGTCTGATCAACATATTAAAACTCAGATTTTTATTGTTTATAAATTATAATATATACCTACCCAAAAAACGGAAAAAGGAAGTATATGGATATATGAATATTTGTATTTAATCCTGATATGTACAACTGTAATACATGAATATAAAAACCAATATCTCACGACTCACTACACAATAAAATAGGAGTAGGTTATTTCTAAAATGTATTATCTACATTTTTTTTAAATTAGGGGGAAACAAAAAAACTATTTACAATTTCTAAGATAATTCTGGATATAACATGTAATTTTATGTAATTTTTTTTATTGCCTATTAATATATTTTATATATTTATATAACTATTTAAAACCAGTAGTAATATTTAAGAAAATAATTACAAATAAATAGTTTTGGAAAACAAATAATATATAATTAAGTTTTGAAATTTTAAAAATAAGTTAGTTATTTTTTAAATAAATACAATAGTATCTGTAAACATCTATTGACAGTAGTCAATAGTTAAAGCTCGGTAAAAAAATAATAATTTCATATTTTAGTACATTCTATTACAATAGTTTCTAACTGTAATATTAATTAATTACAAATTTGTAATAAATATTATAATATTATATGAAAACCAGTATGTTAATTAAAAGTAGATTACAAGTTTTGATTCAACAACTGGTCATTATATCACGTTTACCAATTACCACTGTAGAATGTAGATAATTATTTTTAGAACTAAATGTGTACAAAATTAGTTTAAAAAAATAAAACCCGCCAAATTTGAAGGAGGAAATAATAAATATTAAGTTTTGAATAAAGATACGTTTTAATTTTATTTTTAACAGGAAAATAATAAGTTTTGGAATTTTATTTCAAAACAAAATTAAGACAATGTATACATTATAATGTAACGTTATCGCAAAACTTTAAAATAGTTGTATAAACACCATATTTTTAGTACGTACTTAATACCTACATATTCAGTTTTGAAAATGGTCTACTCGTATAATCGTATTCACCATAATCCAACGTGATATTATTTTTTTCATGGTCTATATTAATTTAAGCGTCTCTGTTGCGTCTGCGAGACAGAGGCGCATTATTTAATTTTCCTATCGAATTTTCAGTAATTATTCACCAAACCCAGCGTGACTTGGGTGTATTATGGCGTATATAAAATTATTCATATCATACCTACATCTATGTTTTTTAATAACACGAAACGCTCTAGGGTCGCGGTTACGCATATACCTATCCTACGCCCATCAGCGGTTAGTTACCTAGTTCGCTCAGTGGAAATCGATTATAACAAAAATACAAAAAGGGAATGTAAATATTATGTTTCTTGTAACCAATTAATTCCGATAGATTTGTAAAAACGAAGGGGTGTCATCTTTCTTCATTAAATATGAACATGTGAGGTGTATGTTTCCGATTCTGAGACGGTCAATAATGGATACAAATTTTCTCATTCCATTCCTTCTCCCATTGGTGGAGTGTATCCATTTCGATAACATTTTTAATATCGCTGTAGGAGATGAGAGAAGAGATAGAACATCGGGGGATGAATGGGCATGTTTGATGGCTACGTCCGAACGTCCGTTGCCTTCTATTGTTCCATTTTTAGAACAACCTATGGAATCTATGAAAATGAAATGATTTTGCCAGATAATTGTGCTATATAATCGACATAATGAATTTTTCTAGTGATGTCGGTACTATCGGTAAGGTCGTGAAGATTTTGAAGACTGGTGAGAGTAGATTAAGAATCTCTATGTGTAGTGATGCAGTCGTGTGATTGATATCTGAAATAATGTATTCGATGGCTTTGAAAATGGCTAAAGCTTCAGTTGTGAGTGTGGAGCATTATTGTTGAAGGGTCTTCATTCAATTTGTTCATCTTTGTGAATTATGACGAACCCGACTTGACTTTCCATAAGAGATGCGTCAGTGTATATTATATATATGTGTGTGTGTGTGTGTGTGTGTGTGTGTGTTTGTGTGTGTGTTTAGGTTTGATTGAAAGAGAAATTTTCCCTAAAAATATTTTTAGATATATAAAACATTAACACATATTATTTATGGTGCGTGTCGTGTTTCAGGCGACGGTAACTTGCATCTAAACGTGGTGACATCGAGATATGACGAAGAACTGACCCGAATCATCGAGCCATTCGTCTACGAGTGGACGTCTAAACACCGGGGAAGCGTCAGCGCCGAGCACGGGATCGGCTTGTCGAAAACAAAATATCTGGAGCACACAAAAAGCAGATCGGCCGTCGACCTTATGCGGAGTCTGAAAAACACCATGGACCCAAAGTGTATACTAAACCCTTACAAAGTCATCCCGGCCGTGGCGGTCGGCGAACAGTAATCCGGGATTGAATAAATAACCTAATATTTATTTATTTATAATACCTTATATGTCAACCGTGGTAATAAAATTTGATACACACACACACACATATATAATATGTACGCGTGTATGTATGTATTATTTTCTGAATGTACCGTAGTCGTTGTCACGTTATATAGAAATAAAAAACATATTTTTATACGGCGAGAGATCCCCGAGAAAACGAGAAAATTAAGATCGTCTAACATTATGTTTATGCTATCATCTTAACATCAAAAGTCACATTGCTATACACACATCTTATCATCACATTGATTTTTAATAAATATTTATATACATTTTTTTTATGTAAGTATAACGATATAATATACGTCATATTTATTATTTTTCTATCAATAGTTTTTGTTTAAACGATTGGGGGGGGGGGCATATACTCGTACTATATGATTCGTATATACACAATACACGGAACAATAAGTACATTGACGTAAATTCTAAATATTTGTACAATATCCATTACTACTGCCCATCATGTTCAATTAAAATCGATTTATTTTGTTTACTTTTCATTGTTTATTGAATAAACAAAATACTTGATATGGAGGTCGAATAAGGTTTGTAAGTCTGTAATAATAGTTATTACTATTTGAAATCTATTTATTATTCAAGTCATTTATATCTTGAATTTCACAATCATATAAAATAAATAAAAACATTGACAATGATTTTGAATTTATGATATACATATTATAACAATAATACCTATCATGTCAATATGTAGACTTAAAACAAGAAGCTATACACAATAGATTCGTTGTACACTCATCGACAGTATTGTATAACCAATGTTAATATTCTAAATAATTCTATCACGTCCGATAGTTATCTTTATAAGAACGCATTAATAGGTGTCGAAAACATGATTTATGGAACGAGAATTATAACTAACATTGATTTCGTGCCAAAGATAATATCGAAATATTTTTTTATTTTTTTGTTACAAAATAAATACTAATAATTATTTTACATTGTTTTTAAACGATAATTTTTAATCTGAAAGATAACTATCAGTTATTATTTCGTTAAAATTGAGCTACCTATGAAAATTTTACTAACATGTAAGCATTAATTATAATAGTATGTTAAATGTAATGGATTATAGCATTATTTCAAAGCTCCACAAGTATGATAACAATTATTTTTCATGGAAATACCTAATTAATAAAAATGATTTAATTCTACGCGAATAAAATAAATACTAGTAATATGAATATATGACATGACACATTCTTTTTATTTTACTTGTATAGTAAATTCAATATAATTTACTGGAGTTTAAAACATTAATATGTTTGAAAATAAAATAACTATATACATTTCGTGAAAAAAATAAAATAGTATAATATTAAAAATAACATTTCAAATAAATTAGATTTTATACAATTTGGTTAATTTATTTATTATGTATTTTATAAATACAATTCTTTGATTACATGTTTTCGTTGAAATGAATAAATGTGTTTGTAAAATAATAAATAAATTAAAGCTTATCTAATTTTGCTTGTTTTTTGTTTTAGTTCAAACACGATATTTATAACAGTTAAACCGATGGTGACAGCCACTAGTTGAAACGTATTGTGCCAAATAAAACCAAGGAAAAATTATTTAACGAATTCACTTATTTCTTAGGATCGCACGAAATTTGATAAGCTTAACAGCTCATTTACATTGAATAGCGCAATCATGAATCGTTGTTCGATATTTAAAGAACTATTCAATATTTGATGATTCATTTAACACTAATGGGTGTTTCTATAACAAGGCATCTACATATTACTCGTATATTCTAAAAATAAGTATATTTTAAATTAAGGAAATTAATTTCAGTTATATGAAACTAAAATTATTTATCATTAACATAGCTGTTGATTTCAATAAATATAAAATAATTAAAAAATTAGACTAATTTCTTACGTTTAAAGTTAAACTAACAGTTTATAGTATAGCTCATAAATATTAAATTGATCCTTTAGTAAGTCAAAAACTAATTATCTCTATATTTTAAATTACATAATTAGAAATAATTTCTTATAGCAATTAACACATAAGTACCTACATCATCAATAAAATATGTTGGAGTTTAAATCTGATGAGCAAAATGTTTATAATATAATTTCCAGAATTATCACTTAATATAGATACGCTGGAAATATTTGACCTATAAATTATAAAAATAATCTATGACTAAAAATTTGCATATCTACTAACTTAAGTTCTGTAAGAATATTAATTCAAAGTGATTTATTCTAAAATATATAAATTGGCGTTCTAACTTCTAAGTTTCAATATTTAAAATTTTTCTAACCTAAATTATTTAATATTTAAATGCATAAATATTATATAATATTGTACGATAATTATTCGTACCTAATGATTAATATTAATTGCAATGAAGACTAACGTTATTCTCTACAAATTTCACTTGATAGGTAGTTAAATAAAATTACACTATTAGGTAAGTATTGAATACTAGGTACCTATAGCAATATTTTTAAAATTATGCAACATTTTGACTTATCTATGTACATTTATCAAACTTTCTTCTAATTAACATATTTTGTGACTCTTAACCAAAAAAAATATTATTAATAATTTAAACAAATAACTCAAAAGCTAAATCAATTGAAATCTTCTTGATCTTTACTCTTTAGGTATTGTAGTTCGTATTTACTTTATACGCTATATTTTTATTACATGATATTATACTTAAAAGTTATATAACTGCAATAAATAATTATAATGTTAAGTATACAATTTTATATAATTTATTTTATGACAGAGTAAATTAAATTATATAATAAATAAAATAAACTATTTTATAGGTATATAAAAATAGTCTATGATAAACATAAGTAATTTTTTTATCGTTGTATATTAATTTCTTACCTGATAAAAGTTTATTGAATATAATGTATTTAATATAATTAGTAAATTATCTCATATAAGTTTTTACAAAAATAATAAAGTTCTTAAAAAAACATAGTATTATTTTTTATTATTAATAAAAATTATTATTAATTATACATAGTATGTATAATTTGTTTTATAAACATTTCTATACTAAATTTTGACAAAATTATACATTTATACAAAAAATAATAATTTTAAGTTTTTTTTTTTTGTTATTCAAAAAGTATTATTTTAAAGTCTAGAAACATATTTCGCCACTGCATATATTATCAATAATTATTATACATTTATAAATTATGATATTTACAAAATATTTAAATTAATTTTAATCTACTTATATGATGAACCTATTCATATCATACTAGGGTACGTTGGAATATTATCTTTTACGTTAATAACTATGATGTATACGAAATGCATGTAATACACACATATATAATATGATAATTATCATTATTATTATTATTATTATTATTATTATTATAAAATTTATGCGATATTTTGTTAAAAAAAAATTATCTAACTTAATATTATTACTATAAAAAAAAAAAAATTATTAATAATCACATAAATATAATATAATGAAATATACTTAATATCTTAGGCTAACAGACCATCTCCACTCAGATTCATTTTTTGTATCTAGTTTTGTACCATTGAATTCAATTTTAACACATATATTAGAAATACTTTAGAACGTAGAGAGCAGAATATCTTCTCCGAATTTTTTGAAAATATAACGATTTCTACGTTGACATCAATAATGGACAAGGTTATTACAAGGTATATCTTATAAATAAATCAGATAATTATTTATCGAAATTAGTTTAATAGCTTTCATAATATTATGTATTATAGACTATAGTTAATCGAACAACGAACAAACATAGCACTATATTATACTCGAAGTATAGGTATTTGATGTGCGTGCTGTTATTCAACTATTGTGTATAAATAACTATTGTGTTTTAGACGCACGCGGAAACTACTACTAATAAACTCAACTAGGTAATTTTCAATTTTGTTTTCACCTACGTATGAACTATGTACCTATAGATATGTAAATTGTAAACATAAATGAATGATTACAAAATAAATTAACACGGTGTCTACAAATCCATTATCGAAAAGTAAAGGTGTACAATAAAATGTGTTTAAAGTTTAAAACGTATGTTACATTATGTAATACGTTCGATACTTCGATACATACACATACGCACGTGTATTTATATTATAATATATATTTTTAATTTGAATCTGTTATGTAATTTATAACCGTATAGTGATATACTAATTATAGTGTTGTATATTCACAGTATTGTCTTAGAAAATAATATTATCGGTTTTTCATGGGCGCAATAAAAATAAGTCATGCAATATTTTATAGTCTAAATAACCAACATTTTTCATTGAAAATTGATGCATAACTTATTCACTCTATTGTATTTCTACTTTGGTTCTAAAACTATTAATATCATAAACGATCTTATTACATTTTTGAAAAGTGTATGCAAAAACTTAACACTAAAATTATTTTTTCTAAATCCCCCCTCCAAAGCTATAAAATATTATAAAAGTCTTACCGTAAGTACACCATAAGGTGTGGATATATTGTAAATTGTTTCGTGTACATTTAAAGTCAATAGATTTTTTCGTTTATTAAAATACTAAACCTATTGTCTACATATTGTATTCACTACATGAACATTGAAAATTTGTGAACAAATATTATCTTTTATTTATCTACTTTTCTAAATCAACTAAAAATATTTTCAAAGCCTTAAACAAAAGTTTATAGAAAATAAAAAACATAATTATTTTTGAATTATTTTTCACACACAAAAAAAAAAAATAAATAAATTTATTTATTTTGTTTTTAACTTTTTATACATAAGCATCATGACACATCTAAATTTCTGTGTAAAGTACGTAATGTATGTAAATACATATTTATTTTAACTTCATTTATTATCTCCAATATTTGTTTAAAACGTTAACGTTATCAACGAATTTTGAATAAGTAATTAATTGTTTTCATAAATATATATCATAAGTAAGACAGTAATGTCATTAAACAAACTATTGACATTTGACTCTAGTAGGTACTCTACAGACATTTATCACTTTTATATTTACTTTTGTATAAATAACAATTAAATGATGTTCATACTTCATACATTAATATATTAAATAACCATATAATTGAAATCGCTTTATTCAAAATAATTACACATTACAAATAATTAAAAATGTATAATGTGTGTAATAGTTGATTTAACTGTACAGTAGTGTCATAACATCTAACTTATTGCATAAGTAAAATTATATAAAACTATAATGAAAAATTTTAATGGAATAGACTCGTCATTTACAGTGTAAATC